TCAGTCATCTTTTCCACCATTGCGCAGGGAGGATAACTCGTTGGCTCTGAACGCCAAAGAGAAGGCCGATCTCCTTGGATCTCTCTTTGCATCAAACTCGACGTTGGATGACGGGGAGAAACTACCGCCGACCATCCCGCGTTGTAGGAGCTCTATGCCGGATGTTAAATTCACGCTAAGATCAGTGCGTAGAGCACTTCTCTCCCTTGAAATCCATAAGTCGAGCGGGCCCGATGGCATTCCTCCAATTGTGCTTAGGACGTGCGCACCAGAGTTGGCTCCGGTTCTTACGCGTCTTTTTCGGCTCTGTTACTCATCAGGTATAGTCCCAAAGTTTTGGAAGACTGCTCTGGTGCATCCGATCCCTAAAAAAGGAGACCGCTCAGATCCAGCTAACTATAGGCCCATAGCTATCACTTCCTTATTCTCGAAAGTCATGGAATCAGTTATTAACCATCAACTGCTCCGGTACCTAGAGGATCGCCAGCTGATCTCAGACCGCCAGTACGGCTTTCGACGGGGACGCTCGGCTGGTGATCTTTTAGTTTATTTAACACACCGATGGGCAGTGGCAATCGAGAATAAGGGAGAGGCCTTAGCTGTTAGTCTGGATATTGCGAAAGCCTTTGATCGGGTGTGGCATAGGGCACTAATCTCAAAACTACCTTCGTTTGGGTTGCCTGCGAGATTGTGCAGTTGGGTCGCCAGCTTTCTTAAGGAACGTAGCATTAAGGTCGTAGTCGACGGAGCATGCTCTGACTTAAAACCTGTGAATGCTGGTGTCCCGCAAGGCTGTGTACTATCTCCGACACTGTTTCTTCTGCATATCAATGATATGTTACAGATCAGTGATATTCATTGTTATGCGGACGACAGTACAGGAGATGCATTATACACCGGTCATGCAAAGATCTCGCGGGCACATACCGATGAGCTCCGGAACAGACTTGTGTCTGAAATCGAAACTTCACTCGATAAAGTTTCGATCTGGGGTGAACGCAATCTTGTTCACTTTAACCCTAAGAAGACACAAGTCTGCGCGTTCACCGCAAAAAAGACACCGTTTGTCGTATCACCTCACTTTCAGGGCACTTCCCTTGATAATAAGTCGAGTCTGGGGATTCTTGGCGTCGATATATCTAGCGACGTCCAGTTTTGCGGTCATCTGGAGGAAAAAGCTAAGATAGCTTCCAAAAAGTTGGGGGTGCTCAATAGGGTGAGACGGTATTTCACGCCAGAAAACCGCCTGAAACTGTATAAAGCTCAAGTGAGGCCACACATGGAATACTGTTCTCACCTGTGGGCAGGAGCGCCACAGTACCAACTCCTTCCGTTAGACCGCATTCAAAGTCGGGCAGCTCGAATTGTTGACGATCGGCGTCTTACTGTCCGGCTCGACCCACTGAAACTGCGTAGAGATGTTGCATCTCTGTGCATCTTCTACCGAATTTATCATGGGGAGTGCTCTGAAGAATTGTTCGGATTGATACCTGCTGCAGATTTTCACCATCGTACAACCCGCCATAAACTAAAATTTCATCCCAACCATCTGGACGAGTGGCGGTCCTTCACCGTGCGTTTTTCAAGGCACTTTCTTCCACGCACAACCACTCTTTGGAATCAACTTCCAGCAGCAGTATTTCCGAACCGATACGACAACATAACCTTCAAGAAAAGAGCATATTCCTTTTTAAAAGGCCGGCAGCACACCTGCAATGCCGTAGGTGTTGTGGGTGACCATGGGCGGCGGTAGTCACTTACCATCAGGTGAGCCGCATGCTCGTTTGCCCCCTGTGTTGTAAAAAAAAAAAAAAAAAAAAAATGAAATTTGGCAAGATGCAGCGCCATATAGCACAAGTAAAGGAACAAATCCGAAAACCGAAAATTTAGTACACCGTAGTTATTTCGCAAAAAAAAATTAAACTAGATGATTTTGTACGGAACCCTCAATGCTCGATGCTCAATGCTCAATGTCCGACTCGCACTTGTTTGATGTGACGTGGAATACAATGTTTTATTATTTCAACAATAATGTCCATTCCATTGAAACGAGTTCTATGCCATTATGGTTGGACTGTTGTGATATAACTCAAGCCTATCTAATGCGCCCACCATACTGTCCCTCCTACGGGACTTGATGACGATGGGCAAGAAATATTTACTAGCTTATTGAACCTACAAAACCAAAGGAAAATTCAAATTTTACGAGCATATTATACTGTCTTATAATATAAAATCATACTTTGGTCAACGCATCTCCATAGCCAGTCTTCGTGGAAATTCAGCAAGTCTTTTTTTTTATACCACTGAGATGGCAAACAAGTATACGGCCCACCTGATGGTAAGTGGTTACCGTAGCCTATAAACACCTGCAATACCAGAGGTATTACGCGTGCGTTGTCGACCCTGAAGAAACCTCTTTACCCCCCTTTTGAAGAACCCCATGCTGTAGTCTCTTGGGAAAACCTCGGCAGGGAGCTCATTCCACAACCTGAGTGTTCGTGGGAGGAAACATCTCTGAAACCGCGCAGTACGCGACCATTGAGGCGATATGAGGATGAACTCCCTGTCGATGGCGAGCCGTACGATGTACGTCTCCTAAGTACCCTACCAGTTGACAGTGAGCTCAAAGAATTTTTTTATCTTCAAATATTTGTTTAAGGTCTTATTATTAATATTTAAAGTACTTAGATGTAAGTTGTGTATATAATAAATAGATTATATTTTTTTCACATTTACATAAGAATAAAAATAATTTGTATCATTATTATACTTTGAAGTTATAAATAAAAGAGAAAAATGAAAAATAAATTAATATTACCACGACTAATGTGCATGACGTAATACATATTTTCTAATTTATTTAATTTACTTTCACAACATTGTTAACCAATAAATATAACACAAGTCTTACAAACTGAAATATCCATCGTATCTGTTAATGGCCAATTTATGTTAACGCCGTCGCCTGTCAGCCAAAATACTAGAGGGAGAATCCGTAACTTAGAAATATATTTAAGTATAAAAAGGTACAAATAAGAAATAACTAGAGGAAGACTTTGTACAAACGTTGTTTGCTTAAGTACTTCGGTCCCACCAGCATTTCTGACGTGAAACAGCTGGACTTGCATAGCTGAATGTCAGTTTAAAACAGTGTTTTTCAATTTTTTTCATGACGCGACCCCCTTAGTATGTAAAAATATCATTAAAATAATGAAATTAATTTGGATTTTAATTAGAATTTAATCATATTGAAGAAATTGAAATTGAATTATTTAATTATTGAAATTTTTATGAAAATTTAAGAATCGACGCCCTTCTCGCTTCTAATCATGTGCGAAACAGTATACTCTGTTATGTCCATGGTACTGCTCATTTCTATAGGCGACGGTTACCACTTTCCATCAGGTGGGCCGTTAGCTTATTTGCCATTTTAAGTTGTATAAAAAAAATTAAACATTATTAAAACAGCCGAATGAATATTTTGCGATGGTTTTTCTTACATAACAGCTGCTACTATTTAATAAATATCCACTTCCTTATCTCTCCTACATACATCATTGAAAACAGATAAATCTTGTATTATGAAGCAGTTACTTCTGTACTGGGTGCGAGTCAGAGGGATGTCAGAAAGTCTAAAGTGACGTGAGTTAGTATTTTTTTTAATGGCTGATAATGAAATGATGACGCGGCCTGCGCTATCGATATACACTGGCGGGGCACCAGTGAGGGATGATTGGTGAAGATGTAAAGGCAGTTAGCTCATCATGACGAATTTAACAATAAATAGTCACGATGGTTTCCAGGGGGAACCGCGTGGAGGTCGACCTGGTAGGGTATATTGATAGCAATGGGGACTAATCTCCCCATTACTAACAATTTCTTCTCCCTCCTTATTGAGGGGTTATGCCAGTAGTTGCCATGCTTGGCAGGCGGGTTGGCAACCGCAGTAAGGCCTTGAAGATGTTCTAAGAGGGACCATTAAGTTCCCTTAATCGCTTCTTACGTCACCAATATACATATTTAGTACCATTTATTATATTAAATAGTATTATAGTCAGAAGATTTAGAATATGGAAAATTATATTCCGAAATCAGAAGCGAAGTTTTAGCAGACGGATCGATAACTTAATATCCGCTGAATATGATTGTTTCTGGGAGAACTATTTGCGTGAATCTCATATCGCAATGTTTTGAGGTTTGTGAATTACTTACTTTTTCCCGTGACTTTATTCGCGTAATCGGATTTTTTTTTATACAACTTAGAATGGCAAATAAGCTGACGACCCACCTGATGGAAAGTGGTAACTTTCGCCTATAGACATGAGCAGTACCATAGACATAACAGAGTGTACTGTTTCGCCCATGATACCCCCCATGCGTTGCCATTCCTGAGAACTCAGGTGTTATTCCTCTGTATCCTGTAAATTCACGCCATATCCCACCCTTCAAACCGAAACACAGCCATGCAAACACAATTGCTTCACGGTTGAAACACGAATAAGACAGAGGTACCCAAGCAATCGACTTTTGTACAAAGTCTCCCTCTGGTAAATATAGAAATATAGGAAACCTGATGAAATAAACCAATTCTAGATGAGGTGTCAAGATAAAACATATACCAGATTTTAAGTTAGACTTATAGAAATACAAGTGCGAAAATTGCATCCAATTTGGCGCAGTAGTTTTTATGTGATACCGGAACAAACATATAGACAGGCAAAATCTTTAAAAATTGATTGAACTTCTACTGCTCTTTAAGACCCCTGATCTAATTTTTTTCTTAAATATCTCCCACGTGTAAACAATGTCTAGTTACAATTTTCTTATATTCGTTTTATAATATAATTTCTTATTTTGCCTTAAACTATTAAAACTATACTTTTTTAACTTCACAACACAACAATTTCTAACTGCATATTTCGAATTTTAACACTAAACCTACCGACATTTCATATATGCCTAATCCTACCATGAGTGGTCAAATGACCGCTTTAAGGGGTTATATACAGTTAATGGGTCGAAAAAAAGCGAATTTTTAGGAATTTTTTTTGAGAAGCCGTTAAAATTTATTGATTCCAAAAGTTTACATACTTATTATGGTATTATTCAACAACATTTTAGTGCTTATTATTAGTAAAAATATTTCTCTGGAGAAGAGCTACAGCCGATCTCCAGGAGGTCCTCTAAAAAAAGACGTCTTGCGGTGACCACTCTATCTCTGAACTGGATCATCTGAAATTAAAAAAATAAAAAGATTTAGTTAAAGTAATGTTAAATTCAATTATTAATCGATGGAATAAGCAAAAAAAAATTTTTTTGTCAAAATGGCGCCCTCTCAAAAAAAAAAAGTCGATTTTTCACCAAAATTTCAACTTTAAATTGTTTATAAAAAATCGAAGTTTTTATTGGAAAAATAAAAGCTTCGATTAATAACTGAAAAATATATTTAAGAAGCTTGTATCAAAATTTTAGACGAATCGGAGAAACCGTTTTCGAGTTACAGTGGTCACCGACTTTGAAAACACCATTTCGAGAAAAACGCGTTTAAAGTTTTGAGTGCACTTTACATGGGATAAAAAATTTTTTTTTTCAACTTACATGGTGTCATCTATTCCAGGCCCATATAAGAGACCTTCTGCTGATTCATTAGCTTCCAATAACTCGAGCTGATGTTGTCTGCGAGCCATTCTTCCATCTCGGGTGCTATCGCGCGCTCTGCGGTCGGAGATGTTCACGCGCTGCTCATCTTCTTTTTCGGCATATAAATGTGCGTTGGGTCCAAGTGTAATTCCTATTGCATTCATATAATATAATAATGAAGCCATTCCTTCATTAAAGACGCCAGCAGCTATGTATGCAGCGGTTTCTACAGTTTTCGAGCCTGCCGGAACAATTTTGGGAGAGATTTTCCAAATCAGTTGATTATAACTCTCGTTGTTGTTTTGGTTAAAACCACCGACACATCTTTCCAATAAACTTTTATTGCTGAGGTCTATAAAAATCGGACGTATAGCTTCAGCAACATCATCAGGTAGTGGCTCATAATCATGTTCGAAAGTAGATACTTCATTGGCAGCAGCAGCCCTCTGCCAGCTGCACCATGAGTCTGGTCCACTCGGACAGTTGTCGTGCTGAGGTTTTTGGTCAGATGAACAATAGTGATAATATGTGGCCCAGATAGCATTATACATTTTCTCAATGGAATCACAATTTCTACGTATTGCTAAGCCATAGTAAACTGTTAACTTATCGATCATCTTTCCAGTGAGTTTTCCTTTTCCACCGAGAGTTTTCTTTTGTATTTTTTTTTCCTTTCGCATTCTCAACAGTCTCAACATTTTTTTTACACAATCTCGAAGTCTCGTACCCATTCGTTTCTGTACATGTCCAATACATTCTTTCTTTACAACTTCCTCATCACCATAAGGTTTAACTTTTAAAATTCCCGAGTACGTTTTGGAATCACCGTCTCCGATATAATTTTTATAGATGACTCCGAGTTTTTCCAATGAACGTTTGAACATTTCAACGACTGAATCAACTTCCATGAGGAACCAGCATGATTTGCAGTGCAAGTATTTTTATGTTCTTCGTACCATTCATTATACTCTTCTGTATCAAGTTTCTTCTTCCAAGTTTCACACAGTTTACAGTAGGCACTTTTAACAACTATATCTATTATTTTACCTGAATAATATCCAATCAAAGAGGTCACACCGTACAAGGAAGTATACCCTCGCTTTTTCCATGTGCCATCACCAGATACAGTTAATTCTGTTGAATGTTCGTTACCTTGATTATCGGAAGTCAAATTTTTCTCTTCGGTACAAGCCTGTGCAAAAAGTTTTTCAGTGGCTATTTTTACACTGGAGTGAATGTTATTTATTATCAAATCATAAGTTGGCTGTGATATAAAAGCTCGCATGTCCATTAATCCACAAAATTTTGCTGCACCTTTCAATCCTAATCCGAGAACTCTCATGACAAATAAAAATCGTCGATTTATTTCATAAGAATGCGTGACGAACGGACTAGAATTTACGCTACGGTCGGCACACTTATCACACAGCACAACTATTTGAAAACCAAGTCGTTCAGAAGTTGTTTGAAACTTGACATCTCCGTCACAGACTTTACACTTTACATATTCAGCAATTGCGGCAAAAACAGGAATGAAGTTTAGTATGCGATACTCAACAGACGGATCACGTGTGACGGAGATTTCTTCTTGCTCTTTAAATTTTTTCGCCGAGGCACTGAAACTCCTTTCATCTGTTTCAGCTGTTTTTGGGTTGAAAACATTTTTACGTTTTTTTACTCTCGACTTACGTACATTATGAGATTTTCTCATTATTCGGGAAGACTTCATTTTCACTGGAAATTACACACAAAAAAATAAACGATCTCACAAGTTTACAGCTTGGCTTGGCTTACTGACTACCACTCTTAAATATGTTCCACTTTAGGGTCGAAAAAATATAAACTCACTTTTCAGGTATAAAATAAAATAATCACACTGTTGATTTACACATCTAAACACTTTAGAAGGGGAATGCTTACAATAGACAGATGCATGAAAGGGACAGCGCTCAGGTAGTCGATGCCGCTCCGGCCTTATACTCCCAAGCGCTCCGAGACGTCGTTACAAATATGCGTGTAACTTCGAAAATATTTGCCGGATCGATTTGAAATTTCTTGTGTGTATTCTTGAATATATGTAGAATCAGAAAATAAAATAAAAAAAAAATCGATTTTTTGAAAAAATTAACTGTATATAACCCCTTAAAATAAAGTATGTATCTTAATATAGAAAGAGATTTTAGCCAATTGAATAGTAAACAAGTAAATAATAGTAAATTGTAAATATTGAAAAATGGGTTGTATGTATGTATATTATAGGAAAAGTCAATAAGTTACATGGTGATACAGTAACGTTATACATGAAAATTTTTAAACTAAATTTCAAAAACGGTTATTTGACCGCGCTTGTTAGGTATTGTGTTAAACAAGCAACAATAACAGATACCTTACTACATAAGGTACCTAATAATAGGGGCCTACTGCGTCACGTGCGACCTTCAAGCTGAAGCAGCGCCGTCAAACTTCACGTCTACCCGACACACCTAACTCATCCCACAGATAATGTAATACTATTACTAATACAATAGCCACGTTGATGTTTATTGACGAGACATCATTCTGTAAGTAGATATAGATGTGCTGAAAACAATGGTAAATGTGTTAGGTATTTTTGGAAAATAATAAGAAGGTCTACGTTAAGTTTGCTTGATTTTTTTTTATTAGAGGGAGCTTCGTAATATAGGTGTGTGCAAAAAGGTCTCAACGATTCCCTAATAGAAAACAATTATGTGAAATAAGCTTTTAGCTACGATTTTTTAAGCGATTTAGAGTAGCTAACAAGCTGACGGCCCACCTGATAGAAAGTGATAACTGTCGCCTATAGACATGAGCAGTACCATGGTAATAACAGAATATACTGTTTCGCCTATGATACTCCCCATGCGTTGCCATTCCTGAGGATTTAGGTGTCAATCCTCTGTACCCTGTAAATTCACTGCCATATCCCACCCTTCAAACCGAAACACAATTGCTTCACGATAGATAAATGGGACAGAGGTGCCCAAACTAACGACTTTTGTACAAAGTCTCCCTCCGGAGTGTGTGTTTATAGATTTGTTTGTAGATTAAAAAGTAACCTATATTCCTCCCCATTCTCTAATCATAGGTTTACTTAGAGGAAGAGCCGGGTCACGAGAAGTTGCTGGCAAAAATAGTACTTAAAACTACTGTACATTGGTTTAATTATTTCAGAAATAACTACCACACACAAATAAACAAATTGTATACCGCTGTGCAATACTAATATATTATTTTATGACAATAAAGTTATACAATAACATTCCAAAATATACACGGGAACTACCACTAAATCATTTTAAAGTCAATTAAAAACGTTGGCTCCAGGAAAAATGTGTGCATTCAATAAAAGAATTTGCATCAAAAAATGTTAACGTTTTAATTATTCAAATAAATTTATTTCATACGAGATTTAAGAAATTTAACATGCTATTTATTATTTTTATTTTAATTAGAATAAATATTGTTACTGTAAGGTCTGAAAGTATCTTAAATAAAACAAAAACACACGTTTTTGTTTTATACAACTTAGAATGGCAAACAAGCTGACGACCCACCTGATGGAAAGTGGTAACCGTCGCCTATAGACATGAGCAGTACCATGGACATAACAGAGTATACTGTTTCGCCCATGATACCTCCCATGCGTTGCCATTCCTGAGGACTCAGGTGTACCCAATAAATTCACGCCTTCAAACCGAAACACAGCCATGCAAACACAACTGCTTCACGGTTGAAACACGAATGGGACAGAAGTACCCAAGTAATTGACTTTTGTACAAAGTCTCCCTCTGGTATCTTAAATGTATCCACGTAAATAAGACTTTATATTTTACATGCCATTAAAACAGTATGGTTAAATATATGATTCTATAACACTAATTAAGATCTATTTCAATCATATTTAATCAAATAAATTATTATTATTATTATTTAAAATAATTAAAATGGACGTGTCAGATTAACTTGTGAACGTGATATCTTCTCGGTATCTCGTTTTCAAGCTCGATTGAAGAACTAATGAAAACGGCGTACGAACGGGCGGAAATTGGAAATTTCGCCGCTTAATAGAAAACTCACTATTCCGCCTCTGTGCATAGACATCGTACTGTTCGAAATGATGGAATATCTTGATTGAATAAATATTTGCAATGTACTTGTATACAAACAACAATATGAAGTATTATATAATGTATTTAACCAATCAACATTAAGAGTATAAAGGACGGTTGGACTGAAATGAAATGTTAAAAGTGAAATATTGGTATATCGATTGTATAGATAAAGAAATTAAATATTGTTGTCTAATGTATTGTACATTAGACAAATTTCATGATAACACTAATGTATGTATGTAGGTGTGGAAATAACCGTTTTATTTTCTCGTATCATAAAATCATAAGTTATGGGCCCAGAATGCTTCTACTATTTCGTTCACTACAATGGTTTAGCTGAAAAATGCCTCTTGACTACCTCATCAAAGATAACAATAGTAAGAAAAATCATATCCACACCAATGTCACATCATTCCAGTTTATCAACTTTCATTTACAAGGACTCGTCCTCTACTACTAACACTTCCTTTAGGAGCAACAGCGTCAAGCATCCATTACAAGCTCCATATACGGGCCCTCACAAAGCACTTCACAAATATGACAAACCGTCACTCTAGAAATTAAAGGTAGCAAAATAGAAATTAGTTTAGACCAAGTCAAACTTGGTATCATTTTCTCTCTCGCTTTATTGTGCATAAACCATAAATCATTTCAGTACAACCACCAACGTCTACCACATCTACGTCCGAAGTGTCTCGAGCACTTCCTGTATCATCCAAGCAATCTGCTTCAAGAACCGACAACCGATGGCAAAAAAAGTTAAGTGAAGAAAAGTTGAGTGGCGACCTAGAACGGGCGAACGCAATGTAGGACGCCCCTCACTAGATGGAGTGACAACCTCAAATGCATTGCAGGGAGTTAGTGAATGCAAGTGACTCAAAATCGTTCTTTATGACAGTCTATGGGGGAGGCCTATGTTCAGCAATGGAAAGGCAACGGCTGATATAATAATACAAAGTGTGCCAAATTTTTTTATTCCTCGACATATATTTTCATTGTTTCTTTTTAAAATACTTAAAATATTTTGTCTCTGTACTTGTCTCTGAATTCACCAATACGATTTTAAAAGCAAAATCTACCCGAATTATAAGGCTCATTTGAGCCTAAATAAAGAAATTAAAATTGGCACACAAAATACATGCAGTAGCGACATCTATTTATATAATTAATTCCCATGTTTATTTAATTATAATACAATTATTTCATGTCAAGTTTGCAGCGGACGAGTTTGGAATAACTCATATTCGCTTTGAATGTAATACAACACTAACATTAACATGTAAACGTGTGCCTCTGTATATTTGCATATTAAAGTGCCAACAAACTTTGTCGAAACAATCTTGGCTAAAGTTTGAATAGCACTTGCTGCATGCATCTCATCTAAACGGAAGCTGGACTGAGTTGCTCGCAATCACCAAGTTTGTAGCGAAGGGTTTATCATTCCATGTTTACACGGATAGTTGTATTATAAATAAATGTCAAAATATTTGAAAAGTAGTATTTTTAGACATATTAATTCAATGATCGGAATAAAGATTGTTTATGTC